TAAATGTTGAAATATTTCTATTATAATTTCATTTGGAAGATTTATATCAGACCTTTTTAGTGGTTTCCTTTTTACTGTCTGTGAAACAGGATACTCTCTATCTAACTTTGTATTCTGCTCTTTATCTTGTATTTTTCCAAAATCTAATAAACTATTTGTAGTGCAAAGCTCTTTTTCTTCAAAAAAACTCAAATTTGGAATTTCTGGATATGACGGTTTCCATGTAACTGATATACAATTTTTTACTTCACAAACTCCTCTTTTCTCGAATTTTAGCTCACCCATTTCTATTCCCGTTTTAAGTTCTACTTTTCCAGCTATAATAAAGCCATCTGTATGTATACGTTTTACTTGATCTCCTAGTGGCTTCACAATTTCTGATATTCTTTTTCGTGCAGATGCTAATAAGAATGGTTTTATTCGTGGATGTAAACCATAATTTTGTCCATTTCTTTGCTCACATAGGACACCCCATAATGAAACTAATAATGCTTTACTTACTTTTCCAGCTGTTCCGCCTTCTTTTTTAATTTTGTATAATATATTTCCCCATTTACCGAACATATCACTTCCACTAACACAGGTATTTTTTTCGTATATAAGTGCATTTGGTGATTCATCTAATAAATATACTTTTAAACCATTTCTTTTGGCACACTCTAAATCAAAATGTGTATAAATTCCATGTGGATTATATCGTAAATATCTAGTGCATTGCAAGCTTTTCTTCGGAGGTTTTCCTTCTATTGTTGCTTTAAAAATTCCATATGGAAATTTATTCCATTTTTCCACTAAAGATACGTCTATAGTATGAAACTTACCTGTAGTAATTGGCCATGATGCTTCTTTCTTTAACATTTCATATATATACATCGAATTTACGTCATATTGAATAGCTTCTCCTTCATATTTCTCTGCAAATACTAAAGCACCAGTTGTTGCTAAATTTAACCATGCATTTTCTTTCTCATCGATTTTTCCTCTTCTGTTCGGTGCTAAAGTTGTTTCTCGAAAAAGTTTTAAACTTGTCAAAGTATAACTTCCAGATTTCCGCATATCGACCAGTCCATTTGTTTTTTCTGCTATAGCTTCTGATTCTTCATTAATTCTTTTATATGCTTCTTCAATGGTTTCACTATTATCTGCTTTAATAAAATAATATTTGTTAGATAATGTACGAAAATCTTCTTTAACTCCATACCATTTTCTTTTTTTATCATAAAACTCGATTCCATTTGGTATATTTTTATAGATCAGGATAGTTTTGTTTCGCTTTGTACTAGATCCTATCCCAGGGTCGACTGCCGGCGCGCTTGCCTCTCTCGGCTGGTGCGTAGGTGGGTTTTCATTAAATGATATGAGATCGCCTTCTGGGATCGGTACTGGGACTTGATTTTGCTCCGGTATAGCATTTCCTACTTGAGGTGCATTTTGCCCTGGTGTAGCATTTTCTGTTTGAGCTTGAGGGGGATTCTTTGGTCGACAGGGATTTTTCCGATTTAAATGTTGTTGATATTTCTGATAAGTGGATAGTTTTAAACCACATCTATCACAAGTAGTATTTTTAACCATTGTGTATAAAAAGTATTATATATTACTTTATAAAATCTTTACTTTAATTAATTATTTATCCTAATCAAATATGATCGGTGAATATATTTGTTACTATTTACATAATTCGGGTAAGATTTGTGGTGCTTTATCTACACGTCCTGAGGGATGTCGTCTTCATTATAAGTGTAAAAAATGTGTACCCTGTACTGATTGTGGAAAACCAACTGCTTCTGCTTGTGGTCGATGTAAAATTCATAAAAGAGGATATTATGTTGCATCTTATTATCAAAGGCTTCGTGAAAAAGCTTTAGAGCGGTGCTCAAGCTAATGTATAGAAATATATATCAAGGCTCTGTTGAAATTTTTTTTGTTAAATTTGCTAGCATCTATTGCGAACTAAACAGATAACTAATGCTCCGCTATGCTCCGCACCCGGAGTCGCTATGCTCCTCCGGAACAGAAAACGCTTTAGTAAACAAATATGATAACTATGCTCTGCTACGCTTCGCAGACTGTTTCACATTCACCTAAAGGTTCATGTTCACAGTGATAGAAAGCTAATTGCAAACTAAACAGATAACTAATGCTCCGCTACGCTTCGCATTGGAGTCGCTATGCTCCTCTGAGACAGAAAACGATTTAGTAATCAAATAAGATAGCATTTTTTGGTTATTTTTGGTTAAAAAAAAACGATTTATATATATCAAAAAAAGGTTATCAAGAATAAGATAAAAAGCTTAAATCTATAGAAAATAGGCAAGGTTAACCGAAAAAACACGTAAATTGTCCTAAAAAGCCCACATATATATTACTAGGAGTGATCGAAGTAAGCATTAAGGACAAGATCTATGAACAAAATGTAATAACAAGCATTTATTAATTATTCAATAGTTGGTGTAGGAGTAATCGAAGTAAGCATTAAGGACAAGATTTATGAACAAAATATAATAACAAACGTTTTATTAATTATTCGATAGTCAGTATTGGAGTGATCGAAGTAAGCATTAAGGACAAGATCTATGAACAAAATATAACAAACAAACATTTTATTAATTATTCAATAGTTTGTATAGGAGTGATTGAAGTAAGCATCAAGGACAAGATCTATGAACAAAATGTAATAACAAGCGTTTATTAATTATTCAATAGTTTATATAAGATCTATGAGCAAAATATTCTAACAAACGTTTTATCAATTTGTGTAGGAGTAATCGAAGTAAGATTTAAGGACAAGATCTATGGACAAAATATTCTAACGAACGTTTTATTGATTATTCAATAGTCTGTATAGGAGTGATTGAAGTAAGCGTTAATGGCAAGATCTATGAATATACTAACAAGTGTTTCATCAATAGTTTGTATAAGAGTGATTGAAGTAAGCATTAAGGACAAGATCTATGAAGCTTGCGAAGCAAGTTTTACAAAAATGAACGTTTTGCAATTATTCAATAGTTATTTATTTATGTATATAAATTTCTTTTATTTTAACTTATATTTAATAACATCACTATGACAAATAATTAAATGAATAAAGTCGGAGATAAAACACCTTTTAATTTAATCATTATTGTTGCTTGTTTACTATTATAATTATTATTTATGTATATACTGTAGGTAAAGAAAAACTTTAATGTCTATTTATTTATTATATTACTTTTAAAATAAATGATTTTACTATAAAAGACATACCTAAGTGATCAAAAATCTACAAATATTCATCATAATGTAATATTTGGACATTTACTTCTACTTATACTTGCGATTGGACGCGTCAAACAAAATTTTACGCATATGAATATAAAGGCAAAATTTGACTTTGAGAGTCAGATTATTTTCGGTTTTATTAACAACCTGCTTTAAAAATTTTCTTAAAGCAGATACATATGATAAAGAAGTTATATCTCAAATTTGGCGGTGGCTGCTACACAGCAAGGGTATTAAATGGGGATTAGAAGTCACTTGATTGTAAAATTTTACTATGATGCAGATCACCAAAAATTTACTATGTTTTACAACTCCCTATTGATCTGCGTGACATGTCCTGTGACTGATATGTATAGAAAAATTTGGTTTTGAAAATTTATCCGTTAAACCCCCCCTCAATCCGCTAAATCGAGGTCCGTTAAATCGAGACCCACTGTGTATTCGCTTTATTATTATTATTATTCATTCTATTCGAATTATTCGTTTTATTCACTTTATTATCGTTTTATTCAAATTACTCGTTTCATTTGTTTGTTCGTTTTATTCGTTTTATTCGACTAAACTTTCATAACGAACGAAACAAATAATTCGAATAGAAATCCTAGGGAATATAAAATTCATCGTCTCCGCAAACTTTTAAACTCTTATTGTTTAGGTTTTAAAATACAACGTCTTTGAGTAAGTAAGTCTATGTCTCCAGGAAAAACTCGTTATTAGGTTAGAATTAATAAATTTAATTCTAAATAAGCAGAATGCAAAAATGAGAATACCAAATTTTTAGCCTAAAGCTCTGAACTGAAATTTTCGTTTAACTTTTTAGAAATCGGAACCGAACCGAAATTCTTCGAACCGTTCGGAGCTTTATCTCTAATTCAAAAGCATGAATATACTTTTCTCTATAATAATTTTTTTATTTCCCAATAGTTCTGACTAATTGTAAAAAATAACTTATTTGATTTTCACTGCAATATTATACATTTCTCCAATAATTTTTATATTAATTTTTTCTATCTGATGCTAATAATATTGCTTTTACAAGAAAAGTTATCAAACTTCTGTTTAAAAAGACGATTTTTGAATCATGTAATGTATAATATAGTAATAGAGTATTATTATTAACTAACATTAATTTAATTGCTCCCAAAATTTTTTTTTAATCGACTGCAGGTTTTTTTTTATTAAAAAAATATTTAGTACTTGTACTGATTACAAATAAAATAATACATTTTTTTTTATTCGTAGTTACGTAACAATTCATGTCTCTAATGTAGATAGCTCTGATTATGAATTCGATGTACTTGTGAGAAGAAAATAAGAACAGGTTTCGACTTGAGAAATAACCAAATAATTCATTAGTAAATACCATATTTCGTTTTCCCAAAAATTCAATTGGTGATAAATACTCACTTTATTTATGCATCAGCCAGGAAATTTTTAACTCATTTAAAAACTGTAAAGAATGAAGGAGTATTTATTCGATGCCCCCCTCTTAGCAAATAAATAATGTCAATGCTTATTATTATTAATTGTTATTATTGTAAAATAAGTAATTGTCTTTACTGGTGAACTATCAGGGAGGATGAAGTAACATGTAAAAGGTTGATCTCAGATATGGAGGGCAATAAATCAGTTAATGAAGCGAAATTTCTTTTGTCATTCCATTAACGTGTAAAAATTGCTCTCGGGTCTATAATTCACTTTCTTTAGTTCATTATATCGAGGAATTGTGCGCTTTCTCCATTCTATTTAGCATATTTTCCGGTTGCAATGGGCTTGACTTTGGATTTTGGTGCTTCGGGTTCTATTAGACCTGAATCGTCACTTTATGACAACAGGATTCCATCTGCATACCATGATGCTGGGTAGCTCACTGCTGTGTATCATCGAGGTTCTAAAGTATCTTGTCAATGTAGCTGAGTACTTGTTTTATATATGTATACTTTTTTTTTTCAACTTACCTTCATAAGAGTTATTATTTAGTATTAAACAATTTGCTAAATTTGACCCCTGTAATTATGTGGTATGCCCTGTATATATATAAATTTTCTATCTTACATTCTTTAATTTTATTTAATTTTGATTTTTATTTCTTATTTTTGTCTCAGTTAAATTTAAATCGTTAAATTTTAACAAATGATTTCACTTGCATATAATAATAATAACGAAAATTATACATTGAGTTCAGAAAAAATAAAGGAATTCAATTTGAATTTTTTGTTAAAGGTATAATTTTAACAAAAACAATTCATGTAAATTTATAATTTAAAAATCCCTGATCTTGATATGTGTTTAACAAATTTACTAGACCATCTTCCAAGTTATGCTTGATATTTTTTTTGTGAATCTTATTAGAAATATTTAATGTAAAAGGTTTAGGTCCTTTCCAACTAATCATTAGGTTCTCCAGTGATTCATCAGAAATATCAGTTGGTGTTTCAAAAATTATTGATTTTAATTGTTTTAGTGAAGTTTGACTTAACAATTTCAATATGATATTTCCATCCAAATTACATTCTTCCCATTTATAAAAAAAATTAATCGATTTTAAATTTGTGCAATTATTAAAAATTTTGAGTAATTCTTGATCAAATTCATTTTTATAAAATAAACATAAATTTTCCAAATTTCGACAATTTTGACCAATTGACTCGATAAGTTCTCCCAAAGATTCTCTATCGCGTATGTTGTTGACTTTCAGAGATTTAAGGGTGCTTCCATTTATTTTAAGGAAATCTGATGAATCCCGAGTAGATGTGTCATAGAAATGCAAACCTTTAATCTTTGGATAAAAAATAGATTTGATATTTTCTAAAATTTTCTGATTACAAAGTAAAATTTCTAGATTTTTAAATGTTGCTGGCAATGATAAAGTATTTAAAGAACGTGAATTATCTCTTCCAGTAATTGCATAATCAACTATTGAGTTTGAATGAGTTAATATTGCTTCTTTAATTTCATTTGATATAGACACACTATTATATTTATTATTTGAATAAAAATGTATTTTTTTAATTTGATACTGTGCTTTAATTAGTTTTGCCAAGTTGAGTTCAACCTCGTCCACTTCCAAAAATTCATCGTTACAATCTATTGTAAAAATTTGAATATTTTTACAAACATCTGCTAATTTACCTGAAACTTCATAACCAGCAGTATGTTCAAAATCGAATCTATAAAGATTCTGAAAACAAGCGTTGAATCTATGGTGATTAATCATCCAGCCACCATCTTCCCAATAAACACCTCTAAGTTCTCTGATAGTTGAATGATTGAAAATGAAACACAATAATCTATATTTAACTAAGTCAAGGTTACCGTCATATATCAGTTTTCTCAAACGATTTTCGCAATCTGAAATATCTAAATCAGTTATAAATTTAGCATAGTTGTATAATGGTGGTTTCTTCAATAATTTAAACTTTATTTTGATGTCATTTTTTACTAAGAAATCCTTGTCTTCTACTAACAAGCAATCGATTAATATTTTAGCGCTTTTAATAGAATAAAATGGATCTTTCCATAAAGTTGAAATATTAATATTAAGACATTGCTTATTTAATAGTATGCAAGAGTGTAATGTTCTATAATCATACTGGAGGTGATTGAATATTTCACATAAAAGTTCAAGCGGTATAAACATCTTTTTTGTTTTTTGGAGGAAAAAACAATTTTTGAGTTGCACAACACCTATTTATAAAAATTTGTAAACAAATAACTGATTGTTATTGATTTTCTTTGATAATTTAAGTTGCAAGATTTCACCTACCCATTACAAGATTTCAATATTTCATCTAAATCTTGTCTTGTTTTAATACGAGCAGCTAAGATACAAAAATCTAGCTCTAGATGAGATCATTGGCATGACAGGATGCGCAACAATAACTACAGCAATGTTTGATTTTAGACATTCTCTTGAGAAGACGGGTATTTTAGCAGGGTTGAATAGCAGTAATGGGATGATTGACGTGTCAATATCATCATCATATATGATGAAACCCATTCTTCTCAAATTAGTACTCAAATATCTATCTATCATTAAATGCCAATTTTTTCCAATCTCACATTGCCTTCTCCATTTGTTTGCATCATCTTCACCACCAATAATAATTGATATCAAAGTGTAGATTCGTTGTAGTATTAGTATTGATTCAGCATAGACTGACTGACGCATGTTTTCTCAATCAAAAATTATCAATAATCTCTTTTGACGATGTAATGTATTATCAGCAGCACCAAATGATTTTGTATAGAGGTTGGAATCGTCCAAAAAAATCCTTAGTCGACCACTAGTTGGCCAAAATTTCTTTAGTTGACTAAATTTTTTTTTAATAATAATATTTCAATTTTTTTTTTTTTAATTTGTAAATTACGAATTCATTTCCATTTGAATCTTTTCAAAATACTTCCACACAAAACCATGTGTTACGATTCGTTTTTTTAAAGGTCTTCTGGTACCACCGCTTAAATCATTGGACCTTGTACCGAAAGTGTTTATTAGTTCACACATATTGATGGTATTGATATTCTTCCGCATAAAAATTTTCCATTTTGAATGATAAAGCACAAAAATCGTAATTGGTCAGACAATAATAATATTAGCATAGTATTAATATCATTAGCATTAGTATTAGCATTAGTAATATTAGTAGTCTACTAAGATAGTCGACTATTAGTTGTTCAAAAAAAAGTTTAGTTGACTAAAATAGTCGACTATTTTAGTCGATTCTAACCTCTAATTTTGTAAATGTTTCCATCAAAAATGTCAACCTTGTCAGGATTTATACCATAATAATCACATACGCTTATACCTCTTGGACCCAATGCTTTTATACTATATGCTTTATCAACATACAAATAAATAATGCATTATTTAATAATTGAATCATTTGGATTTCCCAAGTAATAATAAAATAGCAATTAAATGTAAAAAAAAACCTTTTTTACTTTATGTTTTCTAATGACTTGGCAGATTACATATATTATCTTCCACGAATAAAGACCTTCGACAACCAATAAATCTTTTTCCAAGGTTGATGGGTTTCTATTCAATAAAATTTCCGGATATTATATTTGAAAACCAACCAGGAAAATTAGTACTATTAATTATTGAAATGCCCATAGTAGCAAGTTTACCGACGAATCCGACATCAACGCTTCTTCTTGTAAATGAAAATCATCCAATGTACCAACTTCAGTTCTTGAACTACCAGATGAAGTACCATATTTTCAACTGTTTGTTCAACAACATCAGCACATAGACCTTCATTCCGAGCAGATCCGAATAATTGGATCTAAACAATCTTTGGTTTTGCTAGCCAATTGAAAAGTTTACAGTGATCTTTTGTCTCTCGTTCAAGCAATGTAATTTTTCTACCCAGGTAGGTACTCATTAATTCAATTTACAGAGCTTCCAGAAAAAGGTAAAAATAATAAATTGCGGTTCAGAAAATGGAAGCATATGATGAGAGCCCCTTGCGTTATATATTCAGATTTTGATCATAATTTTATTCTTATATAGAGATTATCAAAATGTTGAGAAAATAAATAAATAACAATTTACGAGGTATTAATATTACATATGTTCTTGTCCTTTTTAAAAATCTTTTTCCATAAACATGACCAAAACAAATAGGTATTAAATATGATAAATAAGTAGTAAACAAGTAATAGTATTAGTATGGTGATTCTTTTTCGCCTTTTGTTATTATCATCGTTTTCATTATTATTATTAATATTATTGGTATTACATAAAATTTATTTTTGTTTGTTGCTGTTATTAACTTAAAAATAAATTATCTCTTTTGTTTATGATATTTGTTTGGACCAGATTTGGAAAAGAAAAATGAAAGAGTGAATACAATTCGCGGTTATTTTAGTTATTTTATAAATAAAGCATGTAGTGTAAACTTTCTTTGACCTTCAAATAATAATCCTCACATGATTCTATATTGAATTTTATTATTTATATTTAATTTTATTTCCCTTCCCTTTTTTTTAAAAAATTAAATTAATTGATTATTGAAATCATCAACAGCCATAATTAGAATTTGAAATAAAAACAGAAATGTCTCAAAGTAAAAATTCTGCTTATGATTATCTTATTAAACTTTTATTAATTGGAGACTCGGGTAAATAAATAAATAAACAAGTAAATAATAAAATAAATAATATCTTTAATGATATTTAATGTTTTACGACTATTAAACATTAAAAAAATTAATATATACAAATAGGAGTAGGAAAAAGTTGCCTCTTGTTTCGCTTTTCGGATGATTCATTTACACCTTCGTTTATTACTACAATTGGTATCGATTTTAAGATTAGAACAATTGAATTAGATGGAAAACGAATCAAGCTTCAAATTTGGGATACTGCTGGTCAAGAACGTTTTCGTACAATCACCACCGGTAACTAATTAATGATTTTGGAATTGAACTCGTAAGAGAAGAAGATTTAATTATTAATGTTCATCATATTAATACTAATAATAAATTATTTAATTATTTAGCTTATTATCGTGGGGCAATGGGAATACTTTTGGTGTATGATGTAACGAGTAAACAATCTTTTAACAGTAAGTATCTTTAACCAACCAATAAATATTAATTAATTATAATTATAAATAAGATGTTTATCTATTTCTACATATGTATACAATGACTTCAGATATAAGGAATTGGGATTCAAATATAGAACAACACTCAAGTGAAGGAGTTAACAAGATTCTTATTGGTAATAAATGTGATTGGGCTGAAAAAAGAGAAATTAAGAAAGAACAAGGTCAAGAACTTGCCGATGAATTAGGGATTGATTTTTTGGAAACTAGTGCTAAATCTAGCATCAATGTGGAAGAGGCTTTCTTCACTTTAGCGAGGTAAAATTTTGGAATGAATGAGCGAGAAGACTTTTTTTAATTTATTTCTAATTGATTAATTTTCTACATGACTACTTATTTAGAGCTATCAAGAAAAGACTTATTGATGCACACGCTCAAGAACAACAAAATCATCAAAACAAACGACTTGAATTGGATAATAACAGGCATCTTAAATCTAGTTCTGGATCAAGTTGTTGTGGTTAATATTGATAAATGTATACAATTAATAATAATAATAATAATAATCTTAGACTTAATATTTATTGTTATATTGTAATCAGATTTGATATTGTAATTGTAATTGTAATAAATCAAGCTATTAATTTAATTCCTAAGCATATAAATTTAATCTTTTGAATTCTAAATTATTTATGCCGATTTATATAATTTTCATCAAAAAGACGTTTTAACGTTATTTTATTGCCACAATCACACAAGGACTGATTAATATTTATTTAATATTAAATATTATTTAGAGAGAGATTAAAACTCGGGCTTAAATTTTAAGTTCGTTATAGACTCTAAATTCACGTGACCACGAAATTTTATTATTGTTGCAACTAACATGAAGAAAGGACTTTAACAAACAACTGTAATTGGGATAATCCGTTTATACGTAATTGTATATAACCTTGGATTAAACCTAGACTATGAAATTATTAAATAATAGGTCATAGAGTATAAAAAAATATTGATTTCATGATCGAATAATTACATCATTTGACCATTGGGAACAAATCCTACTGGAACATAAGATTACATTCTGACAATATATCCACGTTCAAGAGCTAATGCTAATTTTTAGCATCATACACTAAGGTTTACCATACAAATCTATTTGATAATTGGTATTTCTTATAGTTTGACCAACATGGAGCATCATAATATCTATCTGGCAGAAGATATTCATCCACATGTATATCCAGATTGAGCGAATGCTCCATATATTTGCACATCCGATCCAATTTTTCTATATGATCAAAAAATAAAGCCAAATCAACGATTGATTGAATTACAGTGTGACGCATTCATTTTAATCTAAAAAGGATATAAGTATTATTAAAAGAAGAAAATCATGGTAAACATAATTACAGAACAACAAGAAAAAAACCAAAAACTATTAAACAAAATTGAAACATTAAGAAAGCAATTAGCTGATAAATATGAAAACTTTAAACTAAGAACTTTAAATGCAGTTAACAATGTTATGGAAAGTGAAAGACCAGAAATTGCTGGCACTTTAATGACCTTAAAACAACATTTTTGAGCTTGAGATGAGTGGGTAAATATTCAAAAAGAAAATGGAGTTGAGAAAGTTATTTTTGGTAATGAATTCACTATTGAAAACATTGTTAAAGGATTTAGTGAATGAACATTAGCTACTTCAGATTCTTTTAGATTTACTTATGATAAAAATAAAGAACTTGAAGAAAAGAATGCTATTCTAGAAAAAAGTGTTGATTACCAAACAAGAGCTAGAAGAAGCATTAGAATTAGAGGAGGAAACATCTGATTGTCATTTAGAAGCTCTTGATGTGGCTAAACAATGGAGAATAAGACAAAGCAAAGAAAAGGATGATAACTTAGAAAAAGTTTTGAAACAAATAGAGCTGTTGTTTCATGTCAGAATTATTTAGCAAAAAAACAATTTCAAGAACTGACAACTTTACCAAGAAAACAAATTTAAACTCTTAACTAACAAATTAAAGAACAGAGTTAAGCAAGCAAAAGAAATAACTAGGGAAAAATTCAACACTTATATCTTACAAAAAGTCAAATAGTATGAAATTAGAATATCAAGCTAACGAGTTAAGGAGAGGAGATAAATGGCATTGTAATTTCTGCCTTTTTGAAAGAGAAAAAAGTTTTACTGCTACTTACAAAATAATATCTTACAATGGAGACAATAATGATTACAACAACATTGCTTATATTTGTGTAGAGTGTAAAAAAGCTCTTGATGATGATACTCTACCACATTATAGTGATTGTGGTCAAATTATGAGAAACAGAATAGAATGCTTTTGTGATTTAAGGAAAGATGAACCAGTTAAAACTCTGACAATAATGGAAATAATAGCTCAGAGTTATGTGGGTAGATTAGAACAACAAAATAAAGACTTGAAACAACAACTAACTAGTGCTAAGGAAGAAATCAGTTCTCATTTGGAAGCCTTAGAAGTTTCGAAGGATTGGCATAGTAATCAAAAGAAAGAATTATTGAGTAAGATTCAAAGACTTGAAAGTGAGGTTGAGCAATTAAGGAAGCAGGGAACTCAACAAACTGCACAAATTGAAATTAAAGAAACTAAGAAATGACCTTGATTGAAAATAAGAAAGTAATTTAAAGAATATTGAGGAAGTATTTTCCTCTAATATAAATGAAATTCATTCCAACTGTCTTTTAGATAAAATTAAAGAAAATATCCTGGCTTTTGATATCTTATTATGATATCCAACATAATGAAAAGGCAGCTACATTGTTACTGATAAAAATAAGATTTACATTTTTTCTGATTACAAATATAATCATATTAAAACTACTGTCTCTGACTTAAAAGATGAAGATTTTGCCAAAGCTGAGGAATATAAAAACAATATTTCAAAAATAAAGGAAATTATGATGATAAATCTATTTCATTATGAATAGCAGGTGTAACTTTAATTTTAGGTTTTATAATTGCTATGATTTATGCTGTTAAAAGGGTTAAAAAGAAAAAATAGACCGGTATTTAACAATAAAAATAAGTTTATTTTTCTTCTTCCAAATGTTTTTACTTTTTGTTAGGTAATAGCACATCTTCATTCTGCTTTCTTTTTCTAACATTTATTATTTTTCTTTCATGGTAAATTTCATAAGCAATCCTTTCTTTTCTTAGATAAGCTTCAAGTTTCTGAGTGTCATTTATTTTGAAAATGTAAGGAGCAATTTTTTCACCTTGTTCTTTCTTCAAAATCCTTCTAATGGTGCTGTAATTCTTGGGTTCCATAGTAGACCTAATGTAAATTAGTTTCATATCAACTATTTTTACATAGGGATAGTTCTATATATCACTTAAGATAACAAATGGGACATTATAAAATTGTGATGATAATGACTAAATTTTGATCCCTGAAACCCTTGGTAAATACCAATGTTCACTTTGTCTGGTTTTGTTGGAGCATGCTCCAAATAATAAACGTTTTACTGTTTTTTGATTCTTGTTAAATGATGATACTGCGATGTATCATCTTGATTGATGGCTCAACTTTTGGGCTATTCTTGTCAGTTAAATTGTTTTGCAAATAAACCAAAGTGAATTTGGCAATTGGCCAATAAGTAAGTGTAAATGACTAAATAAATCAATCACAAATGAATAAAAAGAACTTTATGGTTTATAAAAGGGCCATCTTTATTTATTTACAGTTAACTAGTACCATTGAGTATGCTCACAGATTCATAAAAAGGCAGTAATCAAGAACTAAGGTAAATTTGTAAATTAATTGACAAGCACCAAATTATTGTCAGTTGCCTGCAATTAACTGACTTATTTAACAGTCTTACATTTACAATTACAATAACACTACCAGTATTTCCAATTAACCTTGGATGTTACTTCATTATTAGTTATACCTAATCTTGCTTGCTCACTAAAGAAAATAAAATGCGGATTTTTACCAAAGCTCCACAATTGTTGCCTTTTACCAATGAATTAACTAACTACACTTGTTGCTTTTATAAAAGTGCTTTAAACAAAGAAAATAAAAACAATGTTTTTATTTGTATTTTATTTTTAAAAGTTTATGATTCTATCACAGAGTTTTATTTATTAGTGTTAATGATCTATTGTTTCCTCTATTTTTTCAAGCAAAGACCAAAAGTTATTCCCTATTACTATTCATAATAATAATAATTCATGAAATTAAAGGTTTATTATTATTATTGCAAATTAACTTAATCAATCAATATTGATATCCATAAATTCACATAATAATTTAATAATAATTTCATTTGATATTTTGGATCTGAAACATGGAGTGCACAATTATCCAATCATGTATTAATGATTTATGATGAAACTTTTGACTCAAGTCATTGATGTAGCTAAAGTGTTGACTAAAGGTGGTTTCTCAGGTAATACAGAAAATATGTAATGTATGAACCTCTATGTATGTAACGTATGAATTTATTTCCATACATGTATGAAAAATGCAGATCATACATA